CTGAAATTCATTGAAAAAATAATCACTACCGAATAAACACTGATATGCCTGGCATTCGCATTGCACTCGAAGCTCGCTCATTTCTGTGGCTTTTTCTCATGAGCAATAATTCTAAGATGAGCAATAATTCAATTCTAAGATGCCATTTTCTTTTCAGTAGAATGTGCCTGCGACAATCCCCTTTACACTAGGGACAACACCCCTCTCTCCTTTAATTATTGGTGATTTGATTTCTAGATGAGATTCTCTGTTGTCGATGAACGACGGACGTCTCATTTGGGATTAGAGAAACTGTAAACGTGATGCGTAAACAAAATAAACAAACAAATGAAATTTGATCTGTACACTCTAATGGACGTTTCTCATCATTTTAGGATTTACGATCGGTGACCGATCGGATTAGGAAGACATATTCATTGTTGCAATGGCAACCATTTTCATGACAGCAAACACACTCCAGCGAGTCGTCGAAATCATTTCCGTCAGATCTCGTCATGAACAAGCTTTCGTTCGATTATGTCCTNACACTCCAGCGAGTCGTCGAAATCATTTCCGTCAGATCTCGTCATGAACAAGCTTTCGTTCGATTATGTCCTACCAACTCTTGTCGATACAATGCAAATGTGAATCCTCACTCCCCAAGTCAAAAAATATTTCAACATCTTAATTGAACCCAGTTTTCAACTGGGTTCAATTAGCCGGTTTCAACTGCGATAAACGAACGACAAGATTGCCGCTTGCCATCAGAACAAAAGTTGTTCGCTTTTGACGAAAAGGCAATGAATATATTCCCAGCTACTTCTCTGATAGATATGTATTTCAGCGCCGCAACATTTTTGATGCAACTCATGCACAACCGTCCACCATGATAATACAACTCATTCCAGGCCTAATGTAGACGACGGACGGACGGCATCCAGATAGATGCCACCAGAACGTTTTCAGCTTATGTAATATAAGTAGTTTCTCGCACGCAATTGAGCGTGCAACAGATTTGTTAGATGCACTAATATTTGTGTATTTTTCATACAATTCTACATTCTTCAGAAAGCAGTGCTGCTCATCAAACATCTTCTACACAACATATGTATAATACAGGCAAATAAGAGTGGAACT